TCCTTGTTTCCACGCCTGCTTCATTCCCTTTTTAAATTCAGTCCTCGCTCTCGCTCACTAGCGTATTTACCGTAAAAATCTTAAACACTAAATGAATACTTATGAATTAATAGCGCGTTACAATTGTTTTTTTTGTCACACACGTGGGCGTTCAACTTTTTGCCGCTTCCGCCAATTTACTTATCATCGTAGATTTTGTAAATGCGACATTCACCGGCTGTATAATAATAATTCCAAGCTTTCGCTGTGAACAAAAGCTCAATGAATTTAATTATGAATCGCACTATTACACGCAAATAGCTGTGATAAATCAATTAATTAATCTATCAGCTTCAACATTTATACTGTACGCGAATGAGAAGAGAGCCTGGCATCTATTTTATTTCCTTCTTTGTTCTTCTCCCATTCAAGCCTTTTTTTTACAGGTTTAACAGTTCGTGTATCAGCGATGCACGCGTGCTAATGTGTGCATTATAATGAATGTGATAAATGAGTCGAGACACTTGTCGGCGACGTAAGAGCAAACGCAAATGATTACGCGGTGCCGGTTACAAGACGGCTGTTTTGTTGTGGTTGAGTCGAGGACGTTGATGCACTGGTACTTGCGTTGGTCGTTTGATCAGCACTATTGCTGTTCGTTGAATTACGGTTGCTCTGATTATTAGTCCCTGACGTTGATCCCTATTCAAAACGATATTAGATAATTATTTTATTTATTTAATAAATGATACAATGATTTTAAGAAACAACATTTATTTTACTGTTTATTTGATCCTCCCAGATTGCGAATATCAAATTTATGAACATATTTTAAAATTAGAAAATTACCTTTCATAATTTGAAAAAGAAATGCTCTTAAATAAAATATTTTAAAAGAAAGATATTGATTGTGAAATACTAATTCATATTCAATAATTTAAGAAACTACAAATTTCGCGTTATACAAAATATGCAAACTGAAGATGTACCTATGCTTCATCTTAAAAGTAAAATACAAATCATATTTGTTATTATATCAATAACTTAAAAACAAATTTACAATATCGGCTACGTCCAAAGTGTTTGGAGATTACATTACCGTGAAAAAATAAAAAATAAAAAATTTAAAGACATACCAGATTGGACTGGGCGTTGTTGGGGAGTTGCTGACCCGAGTTATTAGACGGTTTGCGTTGCCCAGCACCTCTTGGGCCCCTGTAGCCGCCGCGGAAATTTTGGTTACCAGTAGGCTGATTGTTACGATACATGCCACCACCCATATTGCCGCGATTATAGTAACCACGACCTCGGAAGCCACCGCGTCTCATTGACGCCACGCCGAACGTCTCCGAATTCAACTTACGCTCTGTCCGCCAGTCCGTTCGCTGAGATCTTCTGCAAATATCGATTTCACATTTTTTTTAATAAAAGAGTATATTATCATAAGTATCATAACTATTATAAATCTATGATCACTTTAATTTTCTATATAGATATATCACTTGGCATTTCTATTGTAATTAATTTATCGATATAAAACTTGGTTGGGGAAAAAAAGTCTTAAAACAAATAATATTAAAATGAAAATGTCTATAATTAGACATGTCTTTTAAATTATTAAAGAGTAAATGTATCACAGGAAATTAATCTCTACTGACCCTTTACTTCTTTCAACAGCTTCACAACTAATATTGTCGAAAAATGACTTTGCTTTATCATAATGTACAACTTCTGGTTCCTCTTCAGGTTCGTTGTCACCTGCGCCCGTTTCATTACCGCTATCATCCTTCTTCTCATTTTCAGTGCCAGCTTCAATTTTAGCTTTTGCCAGCTGCGATCTACGCGAAACATCCAAATATATGTTTTATGCAAATATTACTTATAATTAGCTATATAATGTATAATAAAAATAAATACTAGTATTCCATTTGCATTTACCTATAATAAAATACACTATTTAATTTTTAGAATTATATTTTTAAAATACTTTTCATTATAAACCACATATTCTTCATAAAATATTGTAGATTATTACATGTTTTACCTTGTACTTATATAAATATACTTATATAAATTTATTATTATATATTAGGACATTTTATTTTGACGACATTTCATATTTATTAATTTTTTAATTTGCTCAAATTCGAAAAGATGAAGTTACCTTAGTATCAAATATTCAGAGTATAAAAATTGATTAATAAATTTGATTGAGATCAAATAAAATTGCAATAAAACTTCATTGAAAGTAGCGTACGAAGATTGAAGAGTTCAATCTAGACAATAGATAAATGAAATCAAAATCAATAAATTTAAAGGTAATAATATATTTATGGTATTGAAATAAAAAATGCTGTATGTCGAGGCAAAGCGTAATCGAATACAGATAATCTATATCCGATTTAATATTGCCACGCTTTAATTTCGCATAGATTCCACATACATATTTCAATGATTACTTGAAATACTTCCGGCACATTCTACGCGATATAAAATAATTATTTTGTGTATATCATTAAATATTTTATATTTTACATGGATTGAATGAAACTTGAAAGTTTAATAGTATAAATAACTATTGTGATTTTTCTTTATGCATTATCTTAAAAATGCATTGCTAAATACAATTTCTAAACAATTTCTAATGATATATAAAATAAAATGTTGAACTTAATAACAATTAAAAATAAAAATTTGTATATTTACACTCAATATAATTTATATTTTATTATTTAAAATTTTTACATTGAAATTGGTTCGTCTTTATATTTTTTTATTTAAAAAATTTCACAAAAAGAATTTTTAATAAAAATATAGTTAAACTTTGTAATTCTAAAATTCAATAAAATTAATTCAAATGCTTATCTTACGTCTGTTCAGTTATTATTCATTAAAAGTGAAAATACATCACATTTCTCATTAAAAGTAATTTAGAAATTTCTAGTTTAGTTACTTTAAAAAATTATCGATCATAAAAATGCTAGATAATGGAAGGGTAGCAGTACCACGTACCTGAGCTCCTCAAACTCTGTATTAGCTTGTTCAAAGTCGTAATCATTGTCGAACTTGAGTGTGTTCTTAGGCTTGACGCCAGTCCCGCCGGGCTGCTGATTTCTAAAATTGCCGGTGCCAGCTCGTCCGCCCCGACCACCACCCGCACCCCCGCCACCTCCTGGCCTGCCACCTCGCATCTGACCTCGCTGACCCATCCAGCCACTGCCCTGTCCACCACCGGCACCTCCACCACTGCTACCATTACCTCCACCAGGCCCACGACTACGCATCCCCTGTCCGTGCATGTGACCGCCCTGACCCTGTCCGTGATGACTGCCGTGCATTGGACCATCCTTATGCTGTTGTTTGCCTTCACTGTACTGGGACATGCCGCTGGTCCGCCCGCTTCCATGACTAAAAAGAAAAAGGGTAGTTCCCGCTAACATGCTAATCTTGTCTTAGAGGTATTATTTTTAATTCGATTACAGATGTCCATACCTATCCCGATCTCGTTGGGGTGCTTGGACATTTCTAAGGTTCTGCTTATCTCCGATCTTGCCAATATTGTTAGATTGAACTTGCTGTTGCTGACCTACCTGAACACCCTGGTCCATTGTAGGACTTTTCCTTGTTAGAAGTGAGATTGGAGTCGTTGGACGTGATCCTCCACTAATAATATCCAATACACCTGTTTCGTATGCAAAATTAATTGTTTAGTTTACACATTAACATTGATTTTTTAATTTTGATAAGGAAATTTTCTTTCATATGACATAAAGATAAATCTCGTATTATTTGTTTATAATAAACATGCTTGTTATATTACATATGTTTAAGAACGAATAAATGATATGTATTTAAAAATTAAGTCAAAACATTTATGTAGAAATTATAAAATAATTTGCTACTTTAGTAAATATAATTGGAAGGTTTATTTTTATATAAACAAAATATCATCATTTGAATAATTCCAATACTTAATTTATTGAAATAAGTAATTGTAATAATAATAATATTATGCTACATGTAATAATTACATGTATTCGTTTGTACATTGAAAAATTCCAACAATATATTAAATATGTTTTTAACTAATTCATATATAAATAAAACTATTGTTTTTAATGCAAAATTTATTACATATATTTATGCAATTTCAAATCTATTTAATGTACTGACTAAATAAAATTTTAAAATCAAAGAAAAGCATGTAAATTAATAAATTATTATCTACAAATACTTCTAACTGTTCTTGCTACGTTTGTATATTTTTCTACTCCAACTTACTAATGGCAACTTTCTGCATTAAAAAAAAACTATAAAATGTGATAATTATACAATCAATTATTTAATGTGCATAATAAATAAATAAATAAATAAAATTACAGTGCAAAGAAATATTTAGATAAATATTTAGAAGCAGTTTGCATAGAGTTTTTCCTTTGTTTTGTTGTACAACTAGACATAATCTTATATATTTTATAATTATGCATTTAAATTATGATCTAACTATTAAAAATTTATTTACCACAACAGACTATTATGTTAAACTGTATATTAATTTCAAATAGCAATCATGCAAGTTACAATGTTTAAGAAATTGTAATTAAATGTCATTATAGTGAAAAAAAACATTATTGAAAAAAATTTATTTATAAACATTGTTAAAAAAATCTTTGCTTTAACAATTGTGATTTATTAAATATTATTATTTAAATATTATTATTTAAATATTAAAATTTGTTTCAATAAAATTATAGAAACTCTAAAATTTAATAAAACATGCAAAAGTGTATTAAATTGTTTTGAACATTGTAATTAAAAGCGTTTAGATAATTTTAAAGTTCATATCAAATATAAAAGTGTTTAGTCTAAAAAACGGATAGACAGTAGTTTCAGATTATAAGAAAACAATATACAAGCAGTCATTAAGATTTTGCCGATAAAGATTCAATTTAGATGATTTGACAGAAAAAAATCATGCAGTGATACTTTTAAAAGTATTTGGAAAAATTAATTTCAAATTTCAGTTCTAATCTATACAATGTACTTACATCAATTTATTTAACATATTATAAAAACTTAGTATTTTGATGACACTAGTAATTAAAGCTTTCGATATAATTATTTTAAAAAAAAGAAAAAAAACAATGCAATTGGTCATAAAAATTACACTAATGAAAAATATTAACAATAAATTTTCGTGCAAAAATTCCTAGTCTAGTAGTATAGATAATTTTATTAAAAAGTTGCGATACAATTTTCGTATTAGTTACTTAATATAATATAACATAATATAATATAATTTAAGATAATATACAATAATAATAACTTACCAGTTTACATTAAATAATATACTAAACAATTCTTATAAAATAATAGCACAATTCTTGTGACCAATATATCCAAAGCTTTTACTAATTAACACTACTAAGTTTATTGTTATCAATTTGTAGCTTGAGAAAAATTGTTCTTATTAAGACTTTATTATTAATTAATAATATTATTATGTAGTCTTATTAATTGTTTTATTAATTAAAAATATTGTGAATTATATTGGCATCAAAAAATGACAATTGTATTAAGTACTTTTTTTCAATTTTCATAAACTTCTAAGGTGCAATCTACTCGTTTAGTTACTTTACACATTTTTAAATACTACTAGATGTAAAAAATATAACACAACTATTTTGCTTCATCAACATTGTTCTATAGATTTCATAGTCAAATATAATTTTGAAAATAAATAATACATAAAGCCTTCCTGTGGAAAAATTTGTCTTCAGCATTATCAAAGCAAGGTTTCGAGTTAACGTAAATGCGATTTAAAAAGTCCAGTCTATGTCAATACCATCAATAGTGCAAAATTAATTGTTTAGATATGTAGAACAATCAAGGTAATCTCAGCAGCAAGCATGCCATCAGCAGGTTAAAGTACAATAGCAAAAACAGTTTACCATCTTCCAGAGATTGCTCTTTTGGCAATGGCTCAACATTGGCAGTCAATTGCGAGTTTTGGATAGAGATGGCGCTGGGCTCACTGGGGCCCAGGCCCAACTCACTTGGCTGTTTGGTCATCGGCTGACGATTTTGTGCCGGTCCCATTCCCATCATCGGACCCATCGTACCCATGGACATTCCATAGGGAGGTCCATACTGGGCGCCCATCGGACCCATCTGACTCATCATTGGGTGACCATAACCTGGTTGAGGTTGATAGGACTGCTGACCCATAGACGGCTGCACCGTCATCTATAATAGGTCAGCTTTTTGTTTAGTTAACATAACTTAAATATGAAAATTATTTCCAAACACACGATTGGCAAGTACTTTTTCTTATTATAGAAAAAATTCTGTATTCATTTTTAAACTGAGTAGAAATTTCCTTTAGTTACATTGAAGATACAGATTATAATAATACAATATAAATGTACAATAGTAAATAAAATAAAATTTATCGTATTATATATTTAAATTTTTAATATATAAGATATATAGATTAAATTTTAAAAATTTGTATTTTGCATGTAACATGATTTAAGTAATACTTAAAATATTTTAATATTTTTATATATATTAATATTACTTGAATTATGGTTGATATTACTGAATATTAATATTACTTTGTATTTATTTTTATTTTAAATTTAACAATTATAAACTGTACTGACAAAAATAGTATTATATTTAATTATCAGAAATTCCTAATATTTGATGATTTTTTCAAAACATTTTAGGAAATGCAAATTAAATTATATACATTTTTCTTTATTTATAATAAAAAGGAAGCAATATCTTCTTTTTTTTAAGTATATAATTTATGTACAAAACCATAGGCTACTCAACTAATATAAATTAAAAATCTTGCTTTGTAATAAAATAGAATATAAATAAGAAAATAAATAAGACAAGTTATTTATTTTCTTTTAGTCTACAGCACATAATTATTGGTATAACAAAAATATTTTAGTACAATTTAAATTTGAAAATAAATTTATATAAATTATATTTTGTAAAATGCTTGTTTATTTATTGGATAGTACATTTTTAATTGCTAAAGTTGCTTAAACTAGAATTATTTTGTGTCATACTTTTAATAAACTTTATAAAAGATTAAATTTGTTCATATATGGGACAAATAATTAATAAATTTCGATAAAAAAAAAAAAAAAAAAATTTATTGTCAAATGTAACGTATTCAAAATTTTTAACAATTTGTCATGAAATGTGAATTAAATTGAAATTAAATTAATTAAAATTTCAGAATATATATAAATATATATATATTTACATATATAATAAATACTTATCC